GACAATAGAAAAAAGTGACTGAGAAGGTAAGAGACAACTTATCAGAATAACATAGTTATAAAAATGAGATGACTCAAAATATTCCATATATTTTCCAATATTTATATACCCCAATATTTCAAAACTAATAAAAAGTAACGTAAAAGAGGTTACAAACTTGGAAAACTGAAAGGATACACTGATTTAGAAAGACTCAGAAAAGCTCTCCCTGGTGGTGCAATGGGTTAGGATGCAGCATTACAAGCAGGTGGCAGCCACTTCAGTGCAAGTTCAATCCCCAGCCCCAGAGGTTACCCACACGGTGCAGTAGACCTCTCCTATCTCACCGGCTGCTCCCCTCAGCAGTATACTTTGTTGCTCTGCCTGTTCTGCTCCCCACTCTGTCTCTGGAGAATCCTCTCATTGCCCCTGAACCTCTGGCCTGTATCCCGGTTCTATATAAGTAAATAAATAATAAATATTTTCTTTTAAAAAGAAAGACTCAGAAAAAAAATGTGACCGGTTATGGGATGACTTGTATCCCCTCAAAATTCATATATTGAAGTCTTCATTCCTGTCATCTCAAAATGTTACTGTTTTTAGGAGATCATTAATGTAAAATTAAGCCATAAGGTTGAGCCCTAATCTCTTATGATTGGTGTCTTAATAACAACTGTTGTTTAGGCAAATATCCACAGAAGAAAAACCACACAAAGACATAGGGAGAAAAAGAATGCCATGCACAGGCCAAGAATAGAGGTCTCAAAAGAAACCAATCTAGCTAACACCTTGATTGGACTTCCAATCTCCAGATTGTGAGAACATAAATTCCTGCTGTTTAAGTAGTACTGGGTATTATGACATCCAACAACCAATATACTAGATAAAAACTGTACTCAAGAGAAAAATAACAATGAAAGATAAAGATCTGGAGACTTAAAGATAAGACACGTGTGAGGTATGAAACTAGACCTATAAAATAGTGTTGTAAACCAACATTATTTATATAAATTTAACAAGTTTTTAAATAAAATGCACCCCCCCAAGAAAAAAAATTTGAGTGGCTACCAATAAAGGAAAGAAATGGAAATAGATTGAACAAGGTGAAAAATAAGAAAAGGAAAAAATAAATGAAATTCTAGAAAAGAAAGCAACTGAATATTCAGGACAGGCAAAAAAGATCCAACATTCAAGTAACAGGTGATCATAAAGAAGAAAACCAAAATAATATAACAAAACAATGATAATGATAGTAATATAACATAACAATGATGATGATTAAAATTTAAGAAAAATTACCTACATAAAAAAGACACCTAAATACTGCAGGGCATTTTATGTATAGAAGAAATTATTTGAAGTATTTATAGCAGTTATCCGTACTCTGTGGTCTAAAAGATATCCACCTTCTATTTTTGTAAATAAAGATTTATTGGAAGACAGTCACTCCAGTTATTTAAGTATTTTCTATATTTGCTTTTACACTACAATGACAAAGATAAGTACTTAAAGATTTATACATGGGACATGTATAATATCTATGATCTTGCCCTTTACAGCAATAGTTTGCTGACCCTTGACCCATGCCAAAATATATTTCAGCAGAACAAGTGGATTAAAATAAAATCAAATCACTGAACTTCTATGAGAAACACACTCCAGCAACACATTATGACTATTTAAATGAAGAAAATATGAATGAAGATTTAATGTTTAGCCAAATTGATCTTATTTGCAATTATAAAGGACCACCATCATACTGTTGTGAATTTGTAAGTTTTCAGGGAAAACAGCTCCCATGAGTTCTTCCTGCGATGGCTCAGAGAACAAGCTTCAGGTAGCAAAGACATGATTCAGGTAGAATAAGACCATATGGTGAAGATTAAATATATTTACTTGAGCAGGAAGGAGAAATGGTGGAGGAAGAGGGAAAGTATGTCATTGACATTTACTCTGACAACAGAAAAATAATTATGCAAGAGGTGAGAGAGGTACAAAGGGAGACAACAAGGAAGAATGAACAAAGGATTAAAAGGCGCTAAAAGAACTTTAAATTAGTTGGGAGAGAAGGCGAAGAGGGAGAAGTCACTACTATAAAACTACTTACAATAGGACATGATGGCAAACTAAGCAGTAAACCTCACACATAAAAGTGTTTAGAAAAATACACAAAACATTCCACAGGGAACATAAATGCTCATGAATACGGGGTCGGTTGAATAGACTCTGACAGATCATGTGATGTAATACTATGCAGCTGTATAAAAGAATGAGCGGTCTCCAGTCGAGTTCTGCAAGGACACAAAGCTGAAGAGAACACGTGGTTCTCCAGCATGCTGAAGAGTGTGCCAAGGATGCTGGGTGTATGGAAAGGAGGAACCACAAAGATGTATGTATCATTTACATTTAAAAAAAAAAGAAGAAGAAGAAAGAAAGATGAAGGATTACATAGGAAGACAAAAACATGAGATTTGTTAGCTCCTGAACATAAAATTGCAAATTATTACTATCTCTAGTTTTCCTATTTATTTTTATCTCTGAAACTATTGCATTCTTACTTATTATTTAATTTTAATTTCTTAGTGCCTTTATTGATGTCCTCCCAAAGGGGTCCAAAGCTACAGATGTCATAATCAAGTTTGGGTTCAGGAAATTTCATCTGATGTTGGCTCCACCTCCTGCTCTGTATTTCTGCTTATCTGGCTCCCTCCCAAGTCTGCATCCTCTGTGCTTCCCACCGAGGCTCTTCTCAGTGATGCCATATTTGGACATTTTGAGAAGGCTTAAAATAGCATACACTCAAATGGATTTGGAGTGACCTGCCTAAGGAGCCTCTATTAAGAAAGACAAGAGGATATTTCAGACAAAGGATGTCCCGTTCCTCTTTGTCCCAGCAATTGGGTATTTTATCACTCCCTCCCAGTCTGCATTCTCAGTGACAGCCTCCATTTTCTTTTATCTCAGGTTCTCTTTCAATGATTAAACCTAATTTGATAGTGCTGAAATCCTTTTATTTCATCCTATTTACTACATTGGCCTGTATCTGTTTACTCTGGGAATTACCAATGGTCTAATCTGAGGACCAAAGAATTGGGACATCTTCTCCCTCCTAGCAGGGTGCTCTATTTCCTGACTAGTTTGAACCTCAAATCTGCATGATCAAGGAATATTTACAAGGATAAATAACTTATAGAGGCAGACAACATCCCTGTGTTCAGATACTTATTACTCTTCCTGACAATGACCCCATGACTGAGAGGTTGGGATGTAGCTAATAATCTACAAGGTACAGGACAGCTTCCCACAACATTGAATTACTCATCTGAGATGTCAGTAGTGCTAGTGCCAATGTTGAGAAACTCTGAGTACAACCTAATGTATCGTAACAAAATGACCCTGAAATAGAGTGAATCAAACAAGACAGATAGATATGTGTGTGTCTTTTCTGGCCAGAGGAAGGTGGGTCTGTAATAACACCAGGTTCCTTCCATACTGTTGCTCTGAGTTCCTCTACAGCTACAGCATTATCCTGATCAAATGATTCAAGTTGACTTCCAGCTTTGCCTTCACGTTGTGACACAGATGTCTTATTTCGCTAGGAGTGCCGTAACAAGAGACATAGGCCAGGGCCTTAAAAAGCAGAGATGTCTTTTCTTACAGCTCTGGAGGCTGGAATTCTGAGATTAAGGCACGACGGGTTGGTTTCTCTATTTGACTGGCAGGTGGCTGCCTTCTCATTGTGTTTTCACATGACCTGTGTGTGTGTGTGCCCAGGGTCTGTTAGCATTCTTATAAGGGCGCTCATTCTACTAGATAAAGGCCCGATTTGTACAACCTCACTTAGCCTTAGTGAACTCTTAAAATATCTTATTTCCAAATAGAGTCCAATTGGGGTTAGGGTTTTTATCTATGAGTTGTGACGGGGCACCAATCCGTTCATGAGAGAAAGAGAAGACAAATTAAAGGGAAAACATTGGAAGTTTTAGAGCACTTATCTAGGTTGTATAAACCATTCTCTCTTAGTCGTATGTCCAGGCTAGCGATTGGGTTGTCTGGATATTCATGGCACATCTTTTGTTGAAAAACAGGAAAAAATATTTCATGACTTCCTGACAACCAAAATACCTTCTCTAGTTTAGCAGCTACATGCCCAGCTAAAACTCTGGGGGTTATGTTACTGAAAGGAAAATTATTAATGTAGGAGAGAGTGGTAGAAACTGGAAAGTGACCTAATTGGTGATTAGCATTTTTCCAATATAAGGACTCTTGGATCTACCCCAACTATCAGAGCCCAGGGGATAATGGTGTCTATTTCCACTTATGACCCTAGCATTACAGAGACCACACCCATCCCTAGATTCTCCTTCATTTAGAGAAAGTTGAAAAACTTCAGCAACCACAAACAAACAAAGTACTTAGCACTTCCCCAGTGGCAGCTTTGAGTCTAGGTAAATTTATTCCCAACCTGAGACACCATGTGTTTCTCCATTTGTCTTTAGAATTTAAAAGATTAGAATTTAAAAGATTAGCAAAAGTCTCTGCAGCTAGAAAACTGGAAGAGAAAATGCCTTTGTGATGTCCTTTAAATTAACTTCTTTTTCCCCCAGCAAATACTCAGAATCTCTGTTCTAAGTGACTGAGGTTGCAAAGTGATTCCTAAATATATAAAATTTAGCAAGATAGCCCTGGATAGAAATTGACCTGTTAACATATTAATGACTCTCACATCTAATATGTATTTTAGGAATGACCATAATATAATAGTAAACCATTTTAGCATATCTTAATTCAGTTAATATATTGACATTGACTAGTTATAATGCTAATGCTAAATTTTCAGGAAGTTTATATTGCTAATGTCTAAGGCAAGGCTATCATCTAAGTCATTTCTGGAAATTCTAAAACAGACTGACTTTATGTGAAATACCATTAAGCCTTAATGGGAGTTATGGAGCAATTAGAGTTGAAAGGTGACCTTCTGAGACTGCCCAATGAGTACCAATCAAGAAAAGTCAACTCACCGTTCTTCTTGTAGAACATAATTTCTCCCTTGAATTCTGTTTTTTCCTCCAATGACTTTTCTATTTGAAGCATCAGTTGCTCATTGGTTTCAACCCCAAATAAAAATTTGCAGCTGCAACTCTTCTGCATGACTTCAGTTCGGGCAAATCCAGCAAGCTCACAGAAGCCATCAGAACAGTAGACTATGGGGAAACCCTTAGCCACCTGGGCATTGGCGAGGATGAAGTTGCTGTCTGTAGAATAAAAAGAAGACACTCAGCAGCTAAGCAGGCATAAAAAATTCTTTTTTAATGTCATCATTTCATTAGCAAAGTATGAACACTTGTGTTTAAATTAACACTGCCTAAAATCATGCCCTGATGTGCTAAGATAGGAAGGAAACATTATAAAACATAAAATGCAATTGACTGGCAGAAGGTGGTATTAAGTGCTGACATCAGCTTGCATTGCATAGAAGCACATGGTAAATGGATCATGGTATTTACTGACTTGATCTGAAGCACATACCTAGTTGCTAACTAGCAGTAAGGTGTGGTGTTTTGGAGTATGGCTTCTGGTTCATATCCTGAACCTGCAATTCGATATATAGGTGAAACTGAGCAAGTCACTCACATTCTAAACCACAGTTGCTTTAGGCTTGATTTCCCCAAATGCAAACTCTAAGGCAAGGATTTGAGTACAAGTAGCTTCTTTGGAAGGTGATCCAGGAAGTAATCAAGTGGGGAGCTGAAAAAGGGAAGGGATGAACAAGGTAATAAAGGGTGTGATAAGAGGGAATTCCCTGCAATGGGCAACAGAGCCTCAATCAGAAATTACTGTGGAAAACACAACTCAAAACTTTACCACTGAAGGGAGAGAAAGTCAACGTATTTATCCATCAACATTTCCTATTTGTTTTAAAAAATACATAAATGCTTAAAATATGTGTATATAAATATAATTCATATCAAAATATGAAATGTTTATGTATACCTAAAATTCATGGAAAAACTGCTAAATATTGAAGTCCTTAGAGAAAGCAACTTTGAGCAAGGCGGTACATTTTAATTTTTATCATATATCTACTATATGCTCTGAATTTTATAATCTATGCTTTATATTGCTTATTAAACCAGTATGTTTAAAGGAAGTATGCGTGAGACAGCCTATCTTGTACACCATGAGAAATGAGGAATTCCAGCTACTTCTCAATGGCCAGTAGGAGAACAGGAGAAGATCTATTCTGTGGGCTTCTCTACCTTCTTATGAACATCTATTGCATGTTTTCACAGTCTATCATGGGCTTGAACCAAATCCACTCTACTCAGCCCCCTTCAGTCCCCAAGCCCAGGGAATCAGTTCATTGCTAACATTTGCATCCAGATTGGTGCTGGCTGGCTCTTTTATGCTCCAGTGACTCAACCCTTGTGGAGAGAAGCTGAAGCTAGAGACGCACACTGGGAAGTCTCCGATTATACATTGTTTGTGCTATGACTTAATTATCCCAGACTAAAATCTAAGTGTCCCATGTTTTGCTGAAACATTTATCTACTGTGAACTGTTTGCTGAGTTTTGTTCTAGTTTCAGAGATAAAAAGTTTATTGGGTGCAGTCATTGCTCTTAAAGCTGTGAGAGTTCCCAGCTAAGTCCAGAGAGCATGTCCTGCTTTTGGGTATGTGTCTTAGCTACACCAACTCTGTACAGCTATGGTTCACTCTCCAATAAAAGCCTCCTTTCTCTCTGTTCTAAACCCCCAGCAGAGAGATTGCTTAGACAATGCAAATGCATAGCTTTGACAAAGTACTCAAACATCCTGAAAGGGCTTTTAATGTGCATTTAGAAGTCATTTTTTAGTCAATTGTTGACATGTTTATTGACTTTCCAGTATATGCCAGATGACATGGCTCTTCCATATGTGAGTTCTAGGGTGAGGTTAGAGGGGGTGTAGAAAGATGAATAAGGTAGAGTCAGCTCTAGGACATTACAATGTAATTAACGAAATGTATGAATATCAATGACACTGAAACAGTCTATTATAAGTACCCAATCTACTGTACATAAATAATAAGTATGACCAGAGATGCTAGTCTTTGTAAAGGGCTAGCTAAGATCAAGACAAAAATAGTTGGACATGATTTATCAAAAGTCCTAGAACATTAGGAGCAGATATCTGAATTGAGCAGCCTCCACAGATAAATGGAGAAACAGGAATTGGAGACAAAGAATAAACATTACTTTTGTTCTCATTCCACAGTTCCCTTTATTCGATAGCAATAATTTTTCTTTTGATAGTTATCAAACCAGTATACAATTTCTCATTTTCTACTTTTGGGCCCTTCCAGGGACTTAGGTTTTAGAGCTGTGTCCTGTATGTGGCATGTATCCATTAACACTTGAGGTTAATATACTTTTATTATTGTTATGTTATGCTTTTTAGCCAATTTAATTCGTGCTTTCTCTTCACTGTGTCTTGTTATTTTACTTTTTCCATGAAAATTAAGAAACATAAGATGCCTACAAAGGTTTTATAACAATATTTTAAAACAATAATATATACCTATGGTCATTCATTCAGTAAAAACCTCTGCGTGACCTGTACAGCCTGGATGTCATTTCTTCCCCCAAGAAGAAAGACATACTCTGAACTTTTATACAGATACCCCCACTTATACAGTTATTCTTTTTTACCACTTCTATATCTTTAAATGACATATTGCCTACATTTTCTGATTTTAAGGAGTATATGATGGTATTTCATTCTGCATATTTCTTTGTGATTATTTTCATAGCACCTTTAGAATTACTTATGGGTACACACCACAAAAGAATAGTCCTTCAGAGCTCCAATAAGCTTCTGCAAAAAACAAAAAACAAACCAAAAAAACTGCTAAAGAAGTCACCAAATTGCCTGATCTCTGTGTTTCAATTAAGGATTATAGTGTGTTTGGTTAATTCCTCCTGCAAATACTCTGCAGAAACAAAGCAAAAAAAACACAAAGTCATGTATTTGGTCTTTTCTATTTATATTTAGCACTTGTCCTCAATATGTAATTGCATTTCAATTCCAAAGAGACCTTCTTGACAGTGGTTCCTCGTAAAGCTTAGTGTACCAGCTACGTGAATAGTCAATCCTTCTGTTTGGGGAAAAGAAGCTCCTCTTACCAGCCTATCTACTTGGAAACATATGCTTTTCTAAATGCCATTCCTGGAATCTCCAAAGAAGAAACGTGACATTTACTTTAGAATTATGTAAAACAAAGCCATCATGGGTATATCACTTTCCATATATATGCTTGGGTATTTAACCTTTTAAGGAATCAATTATGCATATGTGTTATGCATCTAAATGCCACACAGCTTTCCCCTGCTTGTTTCTAGGTCATCCTTTTGTGTAAACTCAGTTTTGAAGTGCCAGTAAACAGTGGGAACTAAATATGTTTACACATTAGGCAGTTGATTATTTTCCTAAGTGCTCCCTAGCAAAAGGCTTTTGTGGGTCAGGAGAGGGAATCTCAGGGTTGGTAGAGACCTGGGTCATTGGGTCTTTCTTTTTTTAAAAAATATTTTATTATCATATTTTATATATCTGTATGTGTGTGTGTGTATCACATCATTCTTCATTTTGTACATTTTTTCATCTTGGTTGTAATCCCCATGAACTTCCCACCACCAATTGACCCCTGTGCCATCACCATAGTCCCATGCTCTCTTCCCACCTCAATTTGAACCTATTCCTATGCCCTGTAGAATATCTCTGGCTTATAGTTGTTTGTTGATTTTGTTTTTACTTTATTACAATTGCTTTTCTTTTATTCTGATCGCTTATACTACTGCTATGAGTGAAACTATCTTTCTGATATAAAGCATCACTCTCCATCCAAATGGAGATATTCCATTCCTTGCTGATTTCCCACTCAGGAAGAGAGTAGGACTAGGAATGGAAGGTCTAGGGAAAGTGGAGAGAGGTGAGGAGAGAGGGCAAAGATTGATCCATTATTAATTCTTCTCATACTTTTCAGATGAGAACATTGAGTCTTGGAGGACTTTAGTTTTCTATGCAAGAGGCAAGTCTCTGGATTAAAATCTGATCTAGCTAACTTTTTTTTTAAGCCTTCTGCAGAAATGAGTAAATTCTAGAAAAATAGTTTTACTTCTTCCAATCTACTAAGAGCCCAAAGCCACAGATTTTTCTCAGTAGATATCACTTATTAAAATTCACTGATGGTATCTCTTAAACTAGGCTGGCTCTCTCAACAAGCTCTATGTTACTTCTCATTTCCAGAGAGTCAATATTTAAAAAACATGAGGCAATATTCTTGGTTCCAAAATACTTTACATAAGTCCACTTGAGAATCTTCCAGGAAAGAAAGCGTACAGCTGCTACTCAAATGATCCGGTCTCTGATGTCCTCATTCCCTTTTAATGTATATCACACTAATTCTAAAATTTTCCCACTGAAATATTCATTGTTTGGTCAAAGCCAATGTGTGTTTCCAAGGGGCCTGGAGGCATGGAACTTAGATACTGTTTTGAAATCTCATATTTAACTTACAAATGCATCAGAATTTTGCATCCTCTTGTGTTGTATATTCAGGCTTATTTGAGTGTTTCTTGATTTATTTTTAACGTGGGCCAATCAAATTTTCAAACCAATTGAAACTTTAGGAAAATGTGCTATTTGTTATCTACGCCCTGTATATAGTGTTAGGAATACCTCTACTAACACAGGTTTGAGAATCGCAATATAAGAATAGTATGTACTCAATGGGACACAAAACACTGTCACCCAACAGCCTGAAATACCTCAAGCCAACCAACTCAGTCTAAGAACATTCCAGAGGGCAGAACCCTGTGGAAACCAAAGGAGTCTTTGCTACGCACTAAGTAGACATCAGAGAAATCTGTCTCTTTGTTCCTCTCTGCCAATAACACAAAAATTGAGACCTTGATGGTCCGCATCTTTATTTGAAAAGTGCCTTTGATATAAGTTCTCTTTTTATATCAAATCTTGTGTTATGTTAGCAAGTTCTCATAGGATACAAACGTAGATGGGCAATTTCAAGTCCTCCAGTCTTCATTTTCTTGCAGAAGAACAAGCAGGAACTTCGAATCTTCTTTCAAGAGTTGCCTCCATTCTCTCTAAATTCCATTTACACACTAGGCCCAACAAAGACAGAGTTTGTACCCTCTGAGTTATCGATTGTGGTCATCTCTGGAGACTACTTTATGCAGGCAGATAGAATGTGACTGTCTA